ACAATCAGCCACGGCCGCCGCCGCGCCCGGGAGAGATGGATATCTTTCGGCTTTCCTGATATATTTCAGCACGTCTGCACCGCGGGAAATGGGATGGAGCTCCTCTGATATTTTTTATAGTTGTTCAGCTCTTTTGTCTTAGCTTTTATTACATTTTTTTCTATCTTTTTATCTTTTTTTTAAATCTTTTTTTCAATTTTTATCTTTTTTTCGTTTTTTATCTTTTTTTCATTTTTTTTTTATTTTTTATCTTTTTTTTCATTTTTATTACTTTTTATTTATTTTGTACCTTTTTTTCATTTTTTATCTTTATTTCATTTTTATTTTTTTTTTCATTTTTTATTTTTTTTTATTTTTATCTTTTTTTCATTTTTATCTTTTTTTCATTTTTTATCTTTTTTTCATTTTTTATCTTTTTTTCATTTTTTTATCTTTTTTTCATTTTTTATCTCTTTTCATTTTTTTATCTTTTTTTCATTTCTTATCTTTTTTTTCTTTTTTTTATCTTATTTTCTTTACATATGTCTTTTTTCCCCCTTATATATCTATTTTTTTCTTTTGCATAGAAAACAGAGCTAGCATCTAAATCGTCGGGCGTAGAGTTTAACGCAATATGCAATACTACCATGCAAGATTCATGAACACCGCTGGTGACTGGAGTGCTGGACACGCATCCTCGAATAAACTACTTGCTATTACTAACTTCACGGTGTATGTTTTGTTGCCTACCTCCAAAATTGAAGGCGAATTAGAATTTTTCGGAGCATCTATCTCCTCCTCGCGTTAATTTTGCTTCCTCTGAATGTTCAGAAAGAAGACGCCTCTGCGTCTGAGAAGTCTCAGTAGTCAAGTTGTGATTTAGCCTCTTCATTAAGAAAAAAAAAATAACTAAATTAAAATATAAGGGCATACATATTAAAACAAGAATTCTTTAAAAACGGAAAGTTCGGGAAAACACCCCCGAGAATTCTATGATATTTCACAGGAAACCTAAAAAATATTAATCGTTAAAAAAAGAAAGAAAGAAAGAGAGAAAAAAAACATAAAAGTTAGTTTTTTTTTATCAAATAATTATGTCCTGATATTCTGGAATGAAGTTCGAACATCAGCCACGACGGCGCTCCACGTCTAGTGCCCTCATGTATTAGTCTGCTGAACTACTGTAATACTGGGCTTTTCTAAAGTGCCTTCATATTTTTGCACATGCAATTTGCTCTTCGAGAAGTTAGAATATTTGCTCTTCGAGAAGTTAGAATAGTTGCTCGCGGTCAAGGCTCCTTTATACAGTGACAGCGCCAACTCAAAGTTCCTTCATATTTTTGGCTATGCAATTTGCTCTCCGAAGAGTTAGAATAGTTGCTCGCGGCTAAGGCGAACCCACGGTGACGGCGCTATGACTTTAATTTGATTTTTAAGCAAAGAATGACTGCGATTACTGGAAGTTCCCTCATTTTGTGGGATATATAGCACATTTGATATCAGAAATGTTAAAATAGTCGCTCAAATTAGTTGGGAGTTAAATATTTTTGAGTTCAACTAGCTGCAGTTACTCGCGCAATTTAAAAACCTTACTTTTCAAAACGAAGAAAAAAAAATTAATTATTGTTGCAATCGAGTTTCGGCCTCTATATCGACTTTCGTCGGTCAAAAAACGTCGTACGTCAACATAGATCAACAATCATTATATTGGTTGCTTACCCTCCTTTGAGGCGTTTTGACTACATTGTTGAACCTCTAATTTTGACAACTGGGTGGCTTTTGATTATTCTGATTTGGGGAGAAGCAATACCTTTTTCAACCACTCAAAGAGCAGATTTTTGACAAAGGGTTCCCTCCCCTCTCCGCAGTTTTCCCGCAATTTTCGCGGTTTTACAGCTTCTTTGAGGCTATTTCGTAGACGTGGTTTTTTGCAAGTACTCGTGGGATACGGTACGACAGCTGTGGTCTATATAGTCTATCTAAATAATCTCACGCAAACTATACCGGTTATATCTCCTGTTTTTCTACCTGCAAAAGCACGATATAAAAGGTCAGGCGGTTTGCCACCTACCGCGCCCCAAAAGAAAATGACTTGGTAAATACAACTGTGCTTAAGAAACGTCTTATGATCTGTATGTAGCTGTTGCCCGATTTCTACGAGTAAACATCAAATTTTCCTACGATGGTATATGCACTTTTACTCGAAGATTTCGCAGAATTTTATACATAACTGAATCAAGTGTGTCTAAAAATTTCAAAGACGAATATTTATAACCAAGTATACTATTCTCATAACTAAATATAATAAAAAAAATATAATCATAATAAAAATTGTTATGGCAATAATTCTCGAATGCTCACACGGCAATCTTCCTCAGCACTGCAGGGTGTTGCAAGTATTAAAATTGGACGTATTTATGCCAAAAGGAACTATGTGCACACGGTTTGCATGGAACATGTAGTTCTTTTTAGCATAAATATGTCCAATCATGCCTCTGAGTGTAAGATTTTGAATTTAAATGCACTTATTACCATGACACATTTCGCCGTGGTTGCTATCTTGCAAGTGAATTGAAGCGGCTGTGCTTTGTTGCTTTACGAAAGTATCGTCCGGTTCTCTGAAAAAACGGCAACTGCCTCGCTGTCTTTCTCTTCCTTTCGGTCAAACTCGTGGCCTTGGATGGAAGGCGTGACACCAAAGGGCCCGAGTAAAAATAACTTTTACGATAAAAAAAGAAACGAACGAAACAATCTCGAGGATGCTGTTTTCAATAAAGAGTCGAGCGCAATGTATCCGCGAGTCCTTTGCGAGCGGACGGTTGCAATTAGTTCATAACTCAGCGCGCTGCGTCGCTGGAGGGAGGAATGGACGATCACAACAACTGAAACAAGACGATTTACTATAAATTTAGTTGCGTAACCTGAGAGATGAATCTACAGCATTCCTAGAAAAATTCGCCGCGACTTTCACATTCTCTGAGGCCTACGCTGAGAGTTAAATAAGATGGATGAAAAAGAGACAAGTTATATACAGTCTGAAACGAGGGTATTATATTGTTTGCTCCTTTCGCCTACTCCTCGCAATGACCGATTATTTCCTGGAGAGGGAATATTCTGTGGAACAAGCGGGTCGAGGCAGTTCCTTGGCCTAAACATCATTGTAAAAATAAATTTGACGCTGTTGTTGGATTACTGCTACTTTCTACGATATACTTGTAAAAGAAACGCGCAATCAGAATTTTTTTCAAAAGGAAATATTCCATGTCGTATAGGTACTTTTTACCGCACAAATTGCAATTGTACCGCGTGAAGAATATCTATAATAATACTTATAATTTATTTTTGACTCTAATTCTAATTTTGGAACTTCTTGGTTTTTTCCCCCGCGATGGTGAGGACCCAGCACCATTTCTCCAACTTGCTACATATAGTTCGGACCACTTCTTGGTGTTTTTTTTTTCCCATGAATAAACTTGTTTGTTATTAAGCTGAGTACTCTCTTAAGGCAGCAAGACTCACATTCAGGTACCAAGAAGGTGCAAATTTCAAATGAAATAATTAAAATGCGGCCGGATGGTAGCACAGCTCATCCCTTAACCCATTTAAACAGCCGAAAATTTCAAAAACAATGTTTCATAATAGCTGCTCCCAGGGATCAGTACGACTCAGCCTGGAAAAAACAGAAAATTCAAAAAGAAATACTTTTCTTGTCAGACAACGTAGCCATTTTTACTTGACCGGGAACGCAGTGGGGGCCGGAAAAATCGATATTTTATGAAATATCCCACGAAATTTCACGCGACCGAAGTTGCATTTTTGAAAACTATGAACAAATTATTTCAGGAGATGGTGACAAGAAATCGCAGGATGCTGCAGCATTAATTTACACTGCCAATGCAGATTTCCCGCCGAGCGCTGCTCGTTAAGTGCAACGGCCAATCAAGGTTGAGCGCGGGAGAAGAAATTGGCGCGCAAATTTCCCGCCACGCGCCGCTCGTTAAGTGCAACGGCCAATCAAGGTTGAGCGCGGGAAAAGAAATTGGCGCGCAAATTTCCCGCCGCGCACCGCTCGTTAAGTGCAACGGGTAATCGGCGGTAAGGGTGGTTTCATCATTTAAAACGTGATTCCAACCAAAATTTTCGATTCTAAAAACAAATTCGGTGACAGCGACCGTCTGACTGTTATATGGGGGATAGAATATAAAAATGCTATCGAGGCGCAACTACGAAGACATGTCCGTCAATTCAAATTTCCCGCTGGTTTTTTGTATTTCTGCCGCAAAAAGTATTCATCCAATCAGAGCTCTCTCCTTCCCGCTCTGTCATCAAATGTAAACAAACCGGCATTTTTTGTTTTTTTAGGTTAAGTCATGTGTTGTCATAGTCATAGATCAAACCGATAAACGAAGCTTAGTCATCTGCAATGTTTTTAATAAAATTCCTTCATTGAGTGCGTGTTCAATGTTTTGTATTATTTAGATCAGTTTCCTACTTCGCTCTCTCCCAGGCAGTGTATAGTGAATTAATTTAACCGTGGAAAAAGAGGAAGAAGCTCCAGCAAAGAGGCGCTCCAAAGGAATCGTTTACCTATCCACCATACCGAAGTACATGACAGTCACCAAACTGAGAGAACTTCTGGAAGTTTATGGCAAAATAGGAAGAATCTTTCTCCAGCCTGCAAAAAATCGTAAGAGTTTTAGGACCTAATCAATTGGTTATGCTTTTATTCGTGTCTTATTTTGTCAAAGAATGGTTAGAATGGAATACTCCGTCAGGTCGCCAACTAATCTTGTAAGCACCCATTCTGAAATTTTAACAAGGGACATATCAGGTATTAGGCTTTAATGATCTGCAGAACTGAACTAATCCATCAGTATTGACTTACAACTGGTGGTAACACCGCTGATCTGAGTTACTCGTAAGCACTGAATCAGTCCAATAGAGCTGAAAGAGCTGAAATGAGATTCTGAAGTTCTGCCCTGAGACCTGACAGCGTATTATTACAGAAGTTGTTGTAAATTTCAGGGAGAAAAACCATGTTTTAGTGCTAGAATCAGGCGTCCCATGAAATAACAGGATCTTAAAGCTCTGAGTAGTTTTGAGAATTTACATAACTATTGTCTAAACCTTTCCTATCAGCAGCCACACACCTTAAAAATATAGTAATAATTATACATAATCAGGGTGTCTACAAGTCCAGAAAGTCCGGAAATGGTACCGATTTTTAAGAGGGGTCTGGAAGTCCTGAAAAAGTGCGGAAATTCCGCCTAAGGTCCGGAATTTTTTTCATTTTTTGGTCATTTTTGTCTCAATTTAAGCGAGAAATTCAAATTTTTGAAATTTATTGCATTTCGTTAAAGAAAGGTATTGAAAAAGTACTGAATTTTTCTATTGAGGAAGTACTGAATTTTTCTATTGAGGAAGTACTGGTTTTTTTGGGAATGTACTGAAAAAGTACTGTAAAAGCACTGATTTTTGACCCACCTGTTTTAGTTGACACCCTGCATAATAGTATTAATATAGTAAAAGTAGTAAAAAAGGCCACCCTAAGAGGAAAGCTTGAGTGTGTTCTCATGCCAGGAACAAGGCTGGTTGTAGCAGTGAATTTGACTATTGCCCGTTTCTTCAGCCCTTCATCATACTTCATCAGCCTTGCAATCTCAGTGTGCTACATTCTATTGTTTCAGAGCGCACTTTAAAAATTCAATTTTTTTTTTTCCAGCTCACTCAAAGAAAAAAAAACCATCAAAACATTTCGAAGAAGGGTGGGTAGAGTTTTTGCGCAAGAAACATGCGAAGCAAGTTGCAGCTCATCTGAACAACAAGCTGATTGGAGGACGAAAAAGGAGCAAATTTTATGACTGTATGTGGAACATCAAATATCTTCCTAGGTAAGGCAACTTCAACTGGTTATTTTATCTGAATCTCTGAGAATGAAAACACACCAACTTGTAAACAGGCAAATTTTTTCAAAGGTGCCCAAAAATCCCTAAAGCTATTGAAGATGGTGTATCTGTCCTGCCCGGCTGCAAGTGGTTGTAAAAACGTTGTCACAACATTACTGCCAAAATTAACATTGCAGCAATACTTTTGAAACGTTTTAATGACGGTATTTTTAGCAGTTGCCGGCAGGGATTAAGCACTTGTGCCTTTTGTTTTCCTAAGTAATTTGTCCCTTGGCACCGAAAAGCTTTTTTTTAGACCAACTTTTTTACTTACTATAAAGTTTGGTGTGCCTCTTAAACATTTTCATTTTTCGCAGTTTATGTGTTTTCATTTTCACTGATTCATTTGTGGTTTTGATTTCTTTAACGATTGCAATTTGGACTACATTTTGCATAAAAGAATCACAATTTCTGACTCATTTTAAAAACAACATGTATGCATTTGATTCCCCATGCAGGTAAATACTTTTATCGATAAGCCAGAAATAGTAGTCTCTATTGCAGAATGTATTCTATTTAAGGTGATTCGATGAGCGCCATATTTTTTGTCAGAACGGCAAGCTATATATCGCATCAGTTGGTTCCATTTTTTCAGCTACTCGTCATTTTTCTCCAATTTTGAGATCGCAATTCTGTAGTCAGGAGACTAAAGCACTCACTTACTAATTTTAACAAAGAAATTCAACATAATAAAGATGTGGTTTTTTCAGAGAGAAAACATCGCATTCGATACTGATATCGAAACTGCACTCGAATGCGATATTTTCTCTCTAAAATAACCACGCCTTTAATATGTTGAATTTTTTTGTTAAAATTGGTAAGTGAGTGCTTTAGTCTCCTAACAACAGAATTGCAATCTCAAAATTGGAGAAAAATGATGAGTAGCTGCTAAAATGGAACCAATGGATGCGATATATCGCATGCCGTTCTGACTCAAAATACGGCGTCCATCGAATCACCTTAAATGAGGAAAATCTATGGCTTGCGCAACTGACACTAGTTAAGGAACCTATGAATGGTTGAACCAGAAAAGCACACCTATCACTGACATTACACATTTTCTGTCATATTGCATCTTTTATTCAGACAACTAATTTTTACTACCTAACATAGGTACATTTTTGAGAACTTAAGTGCTTTAACCACTCTTGGTGAGATTTATCCTGTGATCATTTAAATAACATTTGTTTCTCTATCAATAAAAATGTAGTGAAAGCAAAATTCTAAACACTTTATTTAAAATAAAAGTTTCTCTTGCCTACCTTTCAATGTGAAAGTAATTTTTCATCTTAATTTTCCTTTTTTCTGGGACTTCAGTATTTAAGTATCTACATCAATCTGTAAACCCTGTCCTAATGTACCACTCGACACAGTGTGAAACTAAGTGTTAAAAGACAAGCCTCCTCATCTGAATTTTTCCCAGAATTTGATAGATGCATTGAAAATTTCCGAATTTAATTGACAAGTGCATGATTTGAGTCTAATAATGTTATTTGTGTACATCATTTTACGATGCCTGCTCCCGAAAAACCAAAGTTTAATCAAGCAGTGAATTAATTTCGGTATTCTCAATGAAAAAACTTTCATGTGTGCTGATTTTTTTTACAAGATTAGATGTGCCTTGTGTCCAACAAAAAAGGAAATGTGTGTGAAATCAGGTTCTTGTTCTTCACCCGACGTTTCAGTTGTTTTTAGCAGCTGAATTGATCTACACTGATAATGGTTTTTTAGCGAGCGAAAATTTTCAACCAACTATTTGCAATGAAAACTAGAAATGTTGATTTTTCTCATGTGACCTAATTTCCGAAGTTTTTGATACATTCAACGTGTTCTGGATGGCATTTTGATGAGGAACATGCCTTTGAGATGTCTTATTCTCACCGTGTCTCATGGTCTATTTGAAGATACCTATACTTTGCTGATCCATTGAGCATATCCTTTTTCTGGTGTCATAGGTTCAAGTGGGTGCACCTTTGTGAAAGACTTGCTTACGAACGAGCTGTGCAAAAGCAGAAACAACGATTAGTCGTGGCTCAAGCAAAACGAGAAGCTACCAGTTTTGCTCTGAACGTAGATCGAAGTGAAAGACTAAGCAAGAAAAAGAATAAGAGGCCAACTGCCCCTGCGAAGGAAATCGAATATAAACAGCGGAAAACGGAAGGAGAGATTTTAAGCAGCAAGAAGAAGACTAAATCGAAACCGGTTCCTGCGACTGAGGATAGGAGAGAATTCATCAAAAATCTCTTCAGCTAGAAACTTGAATAGCTGCTGTTTCAGAAGAGTTGTAAGGGTTTCATTACTTTTGTTCATTGAGCTATTCTTTGGTGCTAGTTTGATGAACCTAAAATCTAAACAAGCTCGGTGAGCTGCTTTTTCACGCAGGACCTTGATATAATGCACTGTCTCTGTGGTAATAGAGAGTGCTATGCTGCCGTGTTAAGGAAAAACTCAGCATGAGTCTTCTGATGTTGCCACATTTCTCCCTGGTAAAATACAAATTTTCAGGGAAACCAAGTCCTGGTTCCTCGGTGGAGTGAAAAGGAAAGAAATGTGTGTGAAACTATGTTCCATTATTTATTTGATACCTAGGTTTTTTTTTTTAACCTATGGCATAGTGTTACTTATTCGGAACAACGCAATTTTTGTTTTTTTGGAAGTTGACTTATTTTTCCGTTACATGATATTGAAAATTTGTATCAATGTTTAATTCATTGAAAAAATGAATACCAAAAATTTGAAGTTTAAAGGTTAAACCACCTTGCAGAGAGACCTCCGTAAATATTGAATGAATGCTATTTTTTGGTTTGCTGATCTGAAAGACTCTGCAATTCTAAGACATACACCATCAGTCCATTACTCATAATGCTTTACCTTTGTGCCTTTGTAATTTTATCTCTTCTGATCGAAAGAAAGATTATATTCATGGTAAATAGTGTTTATAATGTTTAACGTATTTATTTTTTTAAAAATGAAAAAAATACATGTTTCTTTATGCAGAGCTTTATTCTTAATTCTATAATTCTTTAACTTGCCGAAACAATTAATATTTAATTTTTATGGAAAGTTCGCTCAAAAAAGCTAGGTGAAACATGACAATTTTAAAATACTTTATGAAATTCTTTCAACTTGATACAGCCTCCAGACCTGCATAATTTGTATGCTATCAGATGAAACAGTAAAATCTAATTTTTTTGTCAGCCAAGTCCTGTTGTCAGGATGTGAATCCATTCTAAATGGAATATGACATTGTAACGCTTTTTACAAAGTTTCACCAAAATTCACTGTAATATTTACTTCCTTGATACTAGAACGAAAGGTAATAATTAATCCAGTGGTGTTGTGTATTTTTCAGGTATTTTGATATGTACTTGGTTATGAACCAAGCCTGCATTACAAAGTATTATTAGAGAGAGAGGGGGGTCAAATCCAGTGCTAGCTAATACCTAAAACCAAAGGAGTAGAGGAGGAAAAATTACTGGTCACATATCAAACAACTTACAAGTAGAAAAAGTGTACGTAAAGAAGAAAGTTATGAAAGAAGGACAGATAGTTTGGAAGAACACAGATTAAGTGGGACATAGTTTTTGAAAACACCGTTTATTGCTTGAATAAAATTATCACCTCACAATTGAGAGGTTGTTTGCAAAATTTTAAATCTAAAAACGTCAAAATTGGTGAACAGCATTCCTTACATTAAACTGAAAAAACTTATCTCAATTAAGTTCTTTTCGTCTGTGCAAGAAATCTTAACGATGTAGTTTTTGAAATTCAACTTTCAGAGGTTGTATTTTGGACTTCAGTAGTAATCAAGAGACGGACAGGAAGTGTGCAACATGTTTGAAACACACGTTGAAGTATTGAAGAGAACAACACTCTAATTTCCTAAAATTTCTCTTTGGTAACTAATTTATTTTATTCTTGGACTAAAAATAATAACAACACAAAATCCTATTAGAAACATTGTTGGTTTTTTAAAAAATACATTTCTCGAAAAATGATTACGCTTTAAAATGGACTATTTAGTAAACACTCCTCCTTGCATGGAGATCCCAAAATGCATAGCGCCCTTGTCCATTTTCTGATTGGACGATCAGTTCTCTCCATTAGAAAAGAGTACGGCTACCCATTCTTGGTACGTATGCTGAGCTAAAAATGCTTTAGCCTTGAAAAAAATGGCAGTTCAAAATGTTGCTCTACTCACTGAGTGAAAAACTTAGGGGCAAAAAAATAGTTTTAATCTGAGATACAAAGTAGTGTGTAAAAAGAGGGCAGCTGGAAGAAACATTAAAGCACATCACATGTGCATACAGATATACCTCTCCTAGAGTGCATTTTGGCCCCCTGCAGCACACAAACGCCACAAGTGATTGCCTTCCTAAATATTATGGGGTAACTAACATCTTAGAATTTCTTTGTCGACGCCTTGCCGCCATCCTTTCACAGAGCGTTTTTGTCGCCTTTTTCTGGAGGGTTCCCAATTCAAAATTTTAAAACAACTCCTCTAACATTCTTACATATATACATAGTACATTGCGTATCATTACTGTATAAATAGACTAAAAAAATTTTCCTGGAAATTCAACAAGATGGAGAACATCTAAATTCATAACAGATGAAGAATTCAAACGATAGATGAGACACAGAGTAAAATTAAGTATCAACGAGTGCGACAAAGGAAACTTCTTACTTCATGATATTGAGGGAGAAAAGAACTTCATGATTTTCTTCATAGAAACCTAATATTTATTGTTAACCCGTAAAAAAAGGTGCACTATTCCAGGATGTCTCCTCACAGAGATGAGATGTTCATTTTACTCGCCTCCTCTCGGACAACATTCATAAGTTCCTCATTGATCAGAAACAAGAACCTGAGTCCAGCAATCTGTAAATAGAAAAAAATAAGGTTGAGCCTACGGCTACATCTTAAAAGATAGAATCAATCATAGCCTTGAATTTTTGGACAAACAACTTTAAAATAGTGCATTTCCTTCAGATTATTCACTAAAAGGCCTGCAGTACAATTCTGATGAAAAGAGCTACTTTAATTTTAAATTGTTGAATTCTTAAAAAAGTGGGGTGAACTTGGCTCACAAGAATTGGACTACATTTTGCAATGAAGAATTACAAATTGGGGCTTGGTTTAGAAACAATGTATGTACTGCTAGTTTTCCCATGCACTTAATAAGTTTTTTTATTTATTCAAATACAAATGCCAAGAGAGCCAAGATGGCATCTGGAAATATCTCTCTCGTTGCTGCCAAAAACTTGATCACATGTTGCCTTTACCGCAATCTATGGACCATTGTCAATGCATAGCTGTAAAGAATGTACTTTGCACTAGATTTGAGGAAATGCACTCTTAGATTTTTGTGAATATTCCCTTGTGAATTTGTACCAAACAGCATATCAAATCTTAGAACCCTTGATGAGACTCATGTTTTGAGAATTGCACAATTCTACAAGTTATATACTATTACAGGGGTGCCATATCATTGCCATTACATTAAGTATGGAGCTAGTGCTTCATTAAAAATTCTATCAATGTACGCTTACCTCAAGAACTGAATTGTTTGTAAGTTTGTACTTGTGCCCATTTAGAATAGGCTTAGCATCTACATACAAAGCTCTCTTCCCTTCACTGGATATGTAAAAATCTCCGTTATTGTTTAACCGTATAGTTGCTTGGCGTCTTGACACTTTCCAAGCAGGACCTTCCAAGGATAAATCCACATCCACATTATGGTCTCTCGTCTTGCGTCCGATGGTTATCTGATATTCAAAAATTTGACCGTTAGAGGTTACAAAAATCAAGCATGAGCCACAAACTTTCTTTCTTAGTAGATTTTTTGAACAGATTTTGTTCTCAGGCAAACAAACCACTTAATTATTTGTTCTTATTTATGTCTGAAGGGTATTGCAAAAACGATTTTAGAGAAAAAACTCTAAAGGCGAATCCATTTTATTATTAAATAGATTGATGAGATTTGATGATGTAGGGCAAAAAGTTAATTTGTTTTGCTATAGATTTCCTCTGTTATTGAGTTTCAATTCATTAAAAAAAAAAATAGAGAGAAAAAAGGATTACTGAAGTAGTTTAAAAAATAGACAGATCGACAAGCCTGATTTAATTGGAAACAGATCTTCAACTTGGCCAGAAAATGGATTCTAATTTTGAATCGGATCTCAGAAATGTATTTGATTTATGAAATATTAGAGTCTCAAAATTTACTTGACATTTCCAGCCTAAAAGTTCATGTTATTTGTATCACATTGGAGTACCTAATTCATATAAGATACTTGAAAAAAATGCGAAAAGTAATGCATGATATCGCCCCTTTTCTGATGTAAGGGTGTATCTCTATTTTCATGTGAATCCTGTTGACCGTACAACTCCATACTCTCCAGGGCTCATGAAGAACTGGACTTACGCCCTTTCATCGAATATTCATACATCGATTACTTTAAGGATTCAAAAATTACCGTGAAGTCATAGATAGTGCTCTCCTACTCTCTAAAGCAAAAAAACTAAGATAAACTTCTTTAACTCACCTCTTTGGAACGCATCAAGTATCGAACGACACAGCCTTTCAAAACTGCCAGCGTCTGATTATCAAAATCTTGAGAAGTAATGCCGGTGACAGCATCAACGAGTACTTGCCACCTGTTAACTTCATTTTTTAGAACGTTGATTTCCTTTTTAGCTCGTCTGAAAAAACCAAGAAAAGTTTTCATTAAAACCACACCTCACAATACTAACACCACAAAAGACGTCTCTAGCTATGAAAGAGAGAAAAAAGTTTGTAACCAGATTTTTACTGCGTAACTAATATTTTATGTTCCAGGGCTGAGCTTGTGAGATCCACTTCGAAGCAGAAACACTAACTTCTAGAACAATGTGTAAGCCTTGAAAGGAGTTAAAGTACACACCTTTGTAATGTGAAAAGTGAAATTCTTATAGGTTTCCTGTAATCTTCGAGTCTATATTCGGACTGATTATATCAGAAATGCCTATCTAAATACCAGTCCTACTGAGTTTGAAGTTTCATTTCTCCATAAGACTCAATGTTAAGAAAAAGAGTTGAACTGTAGTTAAAGCAGAGGTCAGAATATTTATTCTAGACTTTGAATTTTTGACCAGGGGAAAATTTGCGACTAGTAGAATTCAAAACTATTCCTATCTCGTTTTTTTTCCGAAATGCAGCTTGGTGCGTTTTTGTTGAAACCAGACTCAATATTTTTTGAAGAGTGATTCAAAGTAGCATTAAAAGTAGGTAAAATATTAATTGGTATGAAAAAAGTGAAATGTATACGTTTTACTACACATTCAATAACACAATAAAAAAAAGGCAGAGAATCACAAATTGCTAGTGTAGAAGTCAAACTACACTGCACAAAAGAGAGATAAATTTAACAAAATAAAATGAGCAAGTTTGTTTAAAAATAAGAATTTACGATTGAATTCCACAAGTTGAATATAAAGACAAATAAATCGAAAGTCACCTTCTTGAAAACTTGATTGAGGTAGGTATCGTCTTTCAAAGTCAAAAATTTTTTTTTAAAAGCCGCCTCTCATTAAAAAGACTTTGATTTTCTATTGAATTTTATTTATTTTTAGAATCAAATGGATATAATAGAGCAAAGAAAATATTGCCTAATGGTTGGAAGATTCACTGAAATACAAACCTGTCAGCTAAAGCAAGTTCTTGGTCTAGGACAGCCTCTCTTGGCTCACTCAACTCAGTGTCGTTCAAGGTTTCTTCACAGTCTGAAAATGTCAGAAAGTGTTCACTTCGCACCACAGTTGGATCTGAAAACAAGGTAAAAAAATATTTTTTTAATTTCATCTGCCAAAGGACCAATAAAAAAAATGCATGCTGGCTGAAAATGTCTTCCTTCTCTAATCTGAGGCGTATTTTGACAATAAGACTGCAAAAACGCATCTCTTGGTTTGCGATGGTGCAAACTTACGTCATAATTCATTTTTTGAGTGGAAAAATACTCGAAGTCATTTCTTGGAAACTTTCCTAATTATTTATCTCTATGTGAAGAATATTCTACAAAAAGTTCAAGCAATGGTGTTGATTCGGTCTCCTTGGATATAATAAAATGGCAAAATACTTAAAGATTGAAAAAATGATTTTGTTGTTGTGTTTTTGACAGAAAAATTGAATTTATAAATTAATCTTTGTGTCTTTGGTTTTAGTCTTACGATGATTTATTACCAATAACGGGTTCAGTGCCAAAAAGTTGATTTCCAGTTACTCTCATTTTTGATCTATGAACGTCCAGGGCGCATACAATTTTTGGCTGTTACCCTGTTCGGTAAGCCTCTGTGAGCATGTTTCATTTTTATAAAAAGATAATGACCTGTTTGATCTGAGATCAGCTGATATTGCTTCATTAATTGCCAATGAGTGTACAACGCCTTTGCAGTTCGCTTGGGGTAGAAAACAAGTGCATTGTTTGTCAGCAGTTCTTGAAAGGTTTCTAGCGTTGGGTTTGATGACTGGAAGAAGTGGAAAAAGTTCAACTTAGAGGATGGAAAAGCAAACAGATTATATGTAACAGTCAGATAGAGGGGAACAAAAGTGAAACGGAAATGATATCTAGAGTTAAATTCATAAAAGCTATCTGCATTAAATTACAATTTATTGAATGATTGGTGCGACTGACAAGCATTATTGATCGAGTGACTTGTTCCTGTCTCTTTTTTGTCCCATTTAGGAATAGGTTGGCTCCTTATCAGACAATAGCTATTTCAAGTCATAAAGCCTCATTTTCAGGTCACCTCATGTTTGCGATTTCGTACCACACGTTAATTAAAACATTAAAAACAAGAAGAAAAATATATGATAAGGCATATTAGGCGAAAATAAACAAACTAAGGAAATGGGAATTATAAACTGTAAATAAAAATGAACTAAACAAAACACATCAAAATAAAATTTGCGTAAAACTCCATTAGCTTAAAAGTTTTACGTAATTTTAATTTCAATGAGTTTTGTCTCCTTCAGTTCATTATTACTTATAGTTCTTGTTTCCGGTTTCCGTTCCCTTAGTTTGTTTTCAATTTTGCTTTATATACCTCATTCAATCATTTTCTTTTCATTTTCAATGTTTTAAATAACATGCGGTAAAAAATCGCGAATAAAAGGTGATCTAAAAATGAACCATTATGGCTTGAAATACCTACATATTATCAATATGGTACAAGAGCGAAAATTTTTACAGATCAGGTAATTTTGAGTGGCATTATTTTAAAAATCAATTGACACAAGAGATTCTCACTAAAATCAAGAAGTAGTTCCAAAAAAAACAAAGAACAAGAAATTTTGGACAAAATTTAAATTGACACTTAAAAATCCCAAACTGTCCTCTACTTATAAAAAATTCTGTCTCTCACACTGTCCTGCCACGAAAGCACAGTATATGTAGGAGAAAAGTTGGCTCTTACCATAAGTTGTTCTACTATATAATGCTTACTCTACACGTTTAAAGGAACAAATTTATGCCAAAATTTGAATTGAAGTATAAACATGTGAGTGAGGATAAAGATGGGCTTGGTCCATAAGAGGCTCTGTGATCAAGTCAAGGTTGAAGTCGATTTTCTGTGAAAGACTATTATTCAAAGTCAATGGAGAATTCGCACACAAAAATTTTATTGCTTCATCTGGAAGTGCCTAATAAGCTGAGTTTGCAAATTTTTTCTTGACATGGGAAATTGGAGAATAATATATTTAAAAGTGAGAAAATGTGCTGCCCCATTATTTTCACAGATAATGTTACTTTGTCATATTTCCTTCAATAATGGTTCAATTTAGAAACCAAGGATATCCTCGTGCTCAATTTTCCTAACAGTATCATTTTTAAGATTAAATTCACAAAATTTCAGACACCTACAAATTCTCTATTGTATAATCACACATCTGCTCTCAGGGTACTTACTACTTTCATCGATGCTAATAATTGTTCTTCTGCTACCGAAAACAGAGCTTTGGCTTCGATACCAGCAATGACTTCAGGGTGCAAATTCCTCATGGCAAGGATAGCCAACCTTGAGATGACCTGGTCATACAGCAAAGCATACCATCGCTGCTGAATCTCTTGTAATGTAAAGCGACAAGAAAATTTGACTCCACGTTGCACCGTCCGCAAACAATTTGTCTGTGAGGAGAAAAAAGAAAAGAAGGTATAAGGACTTGATTTATTTTTCTTTTTTTCGTAATGATTGAAATAGAGTCAATTCAGCCTTAAATTTACAGAACCTGCAATCGTAATTCAAGAGATAAATATATTTTTTTCAGATAATGATCTCCACTTAGGTACTCTCCTGCCATTCAAAGCACTTTGATTTAAAGAATGGCATGTGCTTTTGCAATAGAACACACACAGTTTAAATTTGTTATGAAAACTCACTTGCACATTGTTTTTTCCTTATACTAGTTTGGACGCGTTTCGGTCTCTTCGTGAGACCATCATCAGCGACTCAAGACTCAAAGAGACTGAAAAGCGCCCAACCGGTATTTATGAGGAAAAAACAACAAGCAAGTGAGTTTTCATGACAAATTTAAATTATTAAGTTCTTAGACGAACCCAAACTCTACTGTTTCACACAGTTTCCCCCGAAATTGTGTGTGTTCTTTGTACCGAGCGTTTGTTTGCCATCTTGGCGGTGTGAGATTGAGAAATTGTGTGTGTTCCATTGCACTTTGACCCTTTCAATACTACAGACGAGTTAACTTGTCTTGTGGCCATACCCACTCTTAGGCTCCCCCATTTTCAAGAATGATGAATGAGACTTTGGATACACATCAGCACAAGGAAATGTTATTATGTCATGCTTAATCCATAGCAGACATTCATGTTGCTGCTTGAGGCACTTGCACAATGCAATTCTCTTTCCTAACCTGATTCATAGGATCAGTACGACAAAACTGTTCTTCGTATTGAACTCATTAAAAATAAAAGAAAGGAAATAAAAAGCTGACGAACATACTGTCGCACAGCGCAAAAACGCTGTAAACGCCATTTTACATTTTTTTGGAAACAAAGTGTAGCAGAAAAACGTGTGTACCTTGGGACAACGTTTTTACAGAATTCTTTTGCAAATACTATCAAGAACTTAACTTGAAAATTTGAGGAGCATGGGTAAAACAGTTTTTAAGTTATAAAGTGTGAAGTTCCAAAAAAAAGAGGAAAAATCTCGTTGGATTTACGGCGTTCTTGCTTAGTACGGCAGCATATTAAAGTTCTGGAAAAATTTGAAAGTCTCAGTGGGAATGCAAAAAAAGCGGGATTCCGAAGGTGACCTTTTCCTCAACCCTACGACAGTAAAAATCATAAAAAATTGAGCAAGCTATGAAAATTATAGGATATAAGTGAAAACACCTTTGGCCCTGATTTTAGCATTCATTTTATCAGCTTATCCAAATAAGGTCCACAATCCAGCATTTTCTGCACCCCTAGTTTCAAAAGGTCTGAACACTTACTTGCTGAACATTGATTATTAAAGCTAGGTCGTCCATAGGCTTCCACCGGCCAAGATCTTTGGTCGAAGACCCTGTGTTGGCATGCTTAGTTGCTTTCCGGTAGCGACTGCCACCGCTTCTGGAATTACTGCCCCCACCTGAGTTTCCGCCAGCAATACCTGAGCCACTGTTTGGGAGTGATTTGTTGGATGCTCTCCTGGGCGGTTTAATTACTGTATCCATCATTGGAGAATTGGACTCACTGGGAGTTAGACTTGGATGCTGAATCGGTCCACCGGCACCTATTAGGATTGAAACATTTTTTATAAGATCGGTTGTTAAATACTGATTTATATTAATTCATAATTTTTTTCTCTTAGCTCTGATTATTTTTAGAATCGACATTTTTATCTAAGAGCACTTGCAAATTATTCAAACTAACATATTATAATATGTTAGTTGAATACAAAGATAGATAGATGTTATATAAGATTATAATCTTCAATTAGGGCTACGAATGCATCCAAAGCAAAAAATAAATATGAGTAAAATATTCTGAGCCGACTAACAATCGGTAAAATTACGCATATCGTTCTTGCAATTTAAGTCTCTCGATACTTTGTCAAAGAAATTGATATACCTATTATAAAAGTTATTATAACATTATTTTCAGGCCAGGGATGTGGAGCTGTATTTCAATGAAACCCTTGGGTACAAAGTACAAAGCCGGATTTTTCTTCAGACTCCTCTCCTTAAACATGCAGCTGTCGCGCTACAGCTGTAAGGCAAGAATTTAAGGTGAGGAAAAAACTTTGAAAGGAAAAAGTCTATTTTAAACATTAGAAGTTGAAAACTCCTCCGCAAAACAGCCACTAGGACTCTGAACCAAATGAATACCTAATAGGCTGGATTTTGACTGAAATCTTAAGACAAAAAGCTTCAAGATTTTACTTTAAAGATTTTTATCTTTCATGAGAAAAAAGGGGGCATCTAGTGCCCTTGTATAAATAAAATTCTTCTTTTGCCCAAAAATGTAAGATTAGCTTTATTTCCACCCATTCCAATTTAATCAAACCACTCCCACTTTTTGACCTGAACCCTTCCTAAGCATCCTACTTACCTGTAACGACTAGTACTTACTTGGTGATGGGACATTTAAAGATGACGTTCGGATTCGCTGAACTTTACCGCTTGCAATAGGAGCCATACTTGTGTTTAAACTTGACTCAACTAACTCATCATCAAATTTTTTTCGTTTGATTGATCTAGAACTACTGTGAAACAACATGTAAAAAGAAAGACTTCAGCACAGTTATTTAAATTATTATTTGGGATATGATTGCCTCCTGAGTATTCAGATACATTGACTACTAATATTAGAATCAGTGTAACAAATAAGTTTGTTAGCAATTTTCTAATTTTATTTTATTACAAAGAAAGCAATTTATCAACATTTTCTTGGAATTTTGAGCAATTTACATGGTTCTTTTTAAAAACATTCTCAAAAGTCGTACAAAAAAAAAATTCTGCAAAAATTAAATGAGCTATAGAAAGGTGAAGATCGTAAACGCAGCATTAATAGCAAAAACAATACCAATCACTACAAGCAAGTCAAGAAATATAAGTGAAAGAACTAAAAACATTCAGTTCACATTTCTTTGATGTTATTGTTCCCGCTTTTTCTCATTCATTTAGACCTGTTCAGAATTGAAAATATTGAACCTACTTGAATCAAGGATTCAAAATTTTTTTAGATATCTCCTAGAAAGTAGGCCATTACTGCACTCAATCTTCTTATAAGTGGTGCTATCTATTGAACAGACGAATTAGGGTTGAATTTAGTCCTGCAAACACTGGGTTTGAAATCATCCTTCGCTCAAGCCATTGAGAAATAGTTGTAAGTCAGTTATTTTATACCTACAGAAATATTGATAAATTTACGAACCTTCTTCTTTTCATGTTGAGCTCTGACAGAGAGGGAGAATGGGTCGAGTCTGTAAAGGAAATAGGGGTGGAAGGCATGCTCTCTATGTGAGAATTCTCAGACAAGGTTTGGATGGTTGAAGATGGCTCCATACTGTATGCTGTTAATTACTCGCTGAAAAGAATCTGTGAAAAAAATAAAAAAATGAATAGTACTTAAATTAGTTGTTAACTTATTAACAATAGAGCAAAAATCTGTCTATGATGAATCTGAATAACTTAAAGACATGACGTAGAAAATAAGGCACGGGACTGAAATATTAGACTTACCTAATTATTTTAATTTAGTCAATGTTTACGGTCCAACATCCGCTACTTCTACCACCTAGCTTGATTTCTAGGGTAAAAAAATTAAACGAAAACATCAAAATTCAAAAAATCACTTGTGGCAGATATTTGAAAACTTATTTAAGGTCTCTCTAGAATCTTTGATAATTATTTTATTACCTAATTTAAGTAACTGTTCACGACTTCAAAAGCCTATTTCAGGAGCTTTTCATGCAAGAAGGGCACTTCTCGGTTACTGTGCTTCAGAATCACCACTAATATTTCATTCTTTGCACGGAAAGTGAATGCATTCATCTCATTAAAATTTCTACCAGATATTCTTAATTATTCTACAATCTATGATGTTCTTTATAGACAATTCTGGATGAAGCACCCATTAGATTCCTCTCTATGACATAAATTAGCAAAAGAAATCGTGAAACCATAACTGAAAACTGTCCTTCTAACACCCTGCAGGACCTCAATTTATACCTGGAAATTTCTAAATTTATTCAAAAACTTTTTCACACATATCTACTGTAACTTATTTTTGAGGACTCAATAGAAAGGTAGAAATTTTCTCCTAGTGTGCTGGATGGGTACCTACCTATGCAAACTTTTGAAAATATTATGAGCGAGTCCCAGGGAAGGCCTCCCCTCCCCTTCAACCCTGGAAAGTTGTAACAGTGTAATAATTGCTTAATATCAGTAGACCCCCGCAAAAGATGTAATGGGCTTTTGCCATCCCACTTCAGAATTTTTTTGATATGCTTATGAACAGGCCTTTGAGATGGGCGAGAAAAATTTTAATTTCTATAAATTCTTACAATATTTATCTACAGACATTTTGGATAGGCGTGTTCTCTAATTCAATGCTTGTCCAAAGACAGTTCGTGAACTTCATTCGTGTCAAGTTGTGTCGGAATATTATAGAGACTTCTGCTACTTAAATTGCCTTTCCTCCGGACCGTTTACATGGTATAAACATTTCAGGACCTGGGCAAGCAATTTTCTTAGTTGATAGAAATTAATGCAGACAATACTTAGGTAGGTACTTACCTACATAAATACTTAATTTTAATTGAGGGGCTTGGAAGAGAAGGCCCATAAAAGCAGCTTTTGAAAAAAAAAATTATATATTAATTATTTAAATCAAAACTCCTCTTGATGCATATTCTGTGAAAAACTCGCTTCTAAATTCCAATTTTTAAGCATCAAAAAGTCAGTTTGAATTTTCTTTCTGACATAAGGATACCTACATTTAATTTCGAAACTTCAAACACATATTTCTTGAAGTAGTAAAAACAGCACTTATGCACCTCGTCCTCCAAGCCCCTCAATTTTAAAATACTTGGAATTTGAAAAATCTTCATAAAATCTTGAAAAAACTTTCTGAGTTTTAAAACTTCCTAATTCAGTTACTTGCCTGAAAATGAAAAGGTTCTTGAAATTATAATCGTTTCATTATGTGTCAATTTCTCTCTTTTTTTTGAAATGAAATAAAACTCAAGATCTGTAATAAATTAAGTGATTTTAGTGTGAACTGGTGCTTTTAGGCGTACAGTTTGTAACAGGATTTGAAGACCACAAGCATTGAAAACAAAAGTGTATGAACAAAATTGTTTATTTAACAAAGTTGATTGAATAGGACAAACGTAACAAAATTTTTTGAAAAAATAATTACAAAAAGCTCTATTGATATAAATGCAACTCAAGTATTTGGAAGTAGGTGATACAAACTTCAGTATGAAAATTTTAGTCCTGCCTGAGAAGAGAATTGTCACAAAAAATTCAATCGCTAACTTCCATTACCGCTAGGTTTCTGAGATTTTTCAGAGGATGTAGGTACCATGATTTTTTCCTGGGACTTGAACAATGTTGAGGGACGTGTCAATGTGTCAAAATTAGGTTTTACATAATAATTAAAAATGGGAGTTAATGATGAAAATGGTTTATCCTGGGAGGCTCTTGAAAAAAATAAAATTAAAAGGAATCCCAGACTAACAAAAGATATTAAAGATTCACGATTTAGCTCTTGTAATTGACCACTGGAGACTTATTATTAAAAACAGGCTAAGTGCAGAAAAGATGATTATGATTTATTCACATTTATAATTTTGAAAATTGCTGCAGAACACACTGTCTTCCGGATATTATACAATATACTCACTCCTCTATTGTTGATGGCACTTGGCGCAGAGTGCAGTAGGTTTTCCCTGAGGTTCAGAACGAAACGTTACATCTAACACAATTTTTTTGGCACTTAGCCCATTACTGATGATGAGTCTTTAATGAAAACAATGAGCATTTATTACTAGATACCTATTGCAAAAGGAAATCTATGCTGAATATGAGCTATCATTACAGCTTATGAGTTAATTCTAGGAGATCTTTCATCCTAAAAACAACGAAATCGTTGTTTCCAGTCTTTTTTAAAATTTCTAACTTTTCTTGGGCTAGTAATTCTATGATACTAATCCATGAAACTCTTTTTAAAAAGGTTTGAAAATCTTTATCATCATCATTGTTTAGCTCTAACAGTCTGACGATCTGACCGAATAAAGGTGTCTTACCATGACAATGATTTTCTAACAAGTCCAACAAACCTCTAACATTTTTTGGGACTTCTTCTTTGAAATCTTCCAGTCGCAAAGAATCGAGAAGCTTCTCCAATTTATTTACGTTATTACTCAAATCAGGTTTTTCGGAACAGACTACTCGACAGCAACTCTTCACAAGCAGAGGTTCAAATTCAGAGGGTATATCTTGGTACTTGAAATTGACTAAATAATGAGAAATAACTGCTAAAAACTTATTATACATCTGAATGATAGCAACTGGCGTGCTAGATTCTCCATTTTTGCGGTAAAGACTGAAAAATTCATCTACAAGATTTTTCATTAAAAAGCAAAAGCTATTTACGGTAAAGTTTCCTGATGACAGAATAAATTTTGAGAAGGAAGAAAGGAAATTTTTGCAGAAACCAGCCCAATTAGTCCAATTATAAAATTCCCAGCAGATCAAGACTCTGTCCTTTTTCAATAAATCCAAGAAGTTTATTAGTTCCTTTGAATTTATAACTTCATCTATGGTTGTAATAATTAAAGGTATTGGAACTGAACATTTTAAGGAACTAAGGGTCTTGCAAATGCGTGTTTTCAATTCATCGTAACTTTCATTCTGAGAAAATATGACAAGGCCATTCATGCCATGACAGCTACTGGAATCGTTTGAGCCTTGCATCATGTTTATTGACATAAAAACTGGGATATTGTGAGAGGTAATGACGGAGAAGCCTTCAGAAAAGTTACATCCTTTTGGAAGCAGGGCACTGCTCAATGATTGTTTCAGAAATGTACCTAGATTTTCATCAAAACGATCTCTTGGGGGAAGAGAAAAAACTAACTTACAAAACAGGAACTGAAACGACTTGTTCATTTTTAAATTTTCATCTACGACTTTTTCTGCTAAAATATCTCCAACAAATGGTACATCAAGTTTGCTTTGGTTCAATTTACAAATTACTTTTCCTGTTGATTTTAATCTGTTGATCCTTTCACTTGTTCTTATACACGGAACACTCGTTCGATTCCCGACCGTTCCCCAAAGAGCTAAATTTTCATCTGCCGTCATCCTCACCAAGGCTGGAAAATCAATCTTTGCTTGGCGAATTTTATCAATTTTTCTCTTCCAAGTTTTAGCATAATGTCTAACGGACAAAGCTTTTAAACGCATCCCGAGGTAGTTTCTAAGAATTTTCAATTCCTCATCTTTTTCTTTCAACAAATGCTGCCGACGAATCTCTTCTTTCAGCTTTCGTTGTCTCTCAGCTTCTTCCAATTTCCTTCTTCTTGCCTCTTCCTCCTTTCGTTTTTCCTCTTCTTTCATTCTCCTCAAACGCTCTTGCTCTTCTTTTATTTTCCGTTGTTCTTCTCTTAACCGCCTTTGCTTTTCTTCCTCTTCACAAATTCTCCTTTGCCTTTCGATTTCCTGCTGACGCATTCTCTCCTGCTCAATGGCTACTCTTTCTAGTCTTTGTCTTTCTTCTTCTTGTTTTTTCTTCTCTTCTTCTTGTCTTCGCCTCTCTTCCTCTTGTCTCCGCTGCTCTTCCAAAAGCCTCTGCTTCATAAGGTTTTCTTCATTCATTCTCCTTCGCACTTCTTCTTCCATTCTTTTGATATCCAATTCTCTTTGAAGTTTAGTCATCCGCGCTTCCTCTTCCATGCGTTGTTTATCTCTCATCAAAGCTTTTAATTTTTGGACTTCCAGTTCCTTCTTCATCTCCATTTCTTGCTCCTTCTTGAGAGCTTCCCTCTGTTTTTCTGCTTCTAGTTTTCGAAGTCTTGTTTTTCTCTGCTCCTCTGCTTCCTTCATTTTCCATTCCTTTTCTTTTTTTATCAAATCTTCGAGGTGCTTTTCTTTTTCTAGGTTTCGTATTAGACGTCTTCGAGCCTCTTCCAAAGCTTCTAGGGAACTATCCTCTTTTATAACTGCATCCACATTATACTTACTACCTTGATTGGCAGCATCAGGATGATTAAGTTCAGATTCATTATCAATATCTATTTTTGCATATGAACTATCATCATCACTGAACTTCCTTGGGTCTTCATCGTCAGAAATTATTTGAACATCCGAGTCTGAATCATACCTCATTTCTGAGGGTTCCAGCAAGGGTCGATAAGAGAAGTCAAAATCCTGCTTCAGTTTCATTTCTTGATCAATAGCTTGATAGGCCAGTTTATTTAATTTACCCTCATCATCAAAACTACTATGAACTTTGTGTTTTTCATACGGGGGCAGGGCTCTACTCTTTACAACAGCGTATGAAAGGGCTTCCCGCTTGTTGAGAACAATAAAGGAGGATTCATCGAAATTAAAAAGTGTATCGCGAGCAAAGAATTCATCACGATTAATTATGACTTCATTCGACTCAGAGTTGAAGCCAATGCCATCATTTTGGCAAAACTGCTGTAATTCTGCATTGCCTAATCTCAGGGACTGCTTAACAAAATCAGCATTCAGTGAGAATACTTTCATGGGAGGAGAATAGGCTTTGATTATAATAATGAGAGCAGTTTCTCTAATAATTGGGAAATATGTTTGCAGCAAACAACTGTTTAGATAGGAAGTCTTTTCAACTAAGTCAAAAAACTGAGCATAGGATCTTGAGGAGAACAGGAGATAGGCTTTGACAGCTACTTTAAGTTCTTCTGATGCTTGAATATGCTGAGGGAAATTTTGGAATTCCCACAAAATATCACTGCTGCTTAACTGGAGAAGAACTTGGTAAGCTTTGAATTCAGCTTCGTTTGTACAAGCGCCTGTGCTTGATAGAGAATCATAAAGGTGGTTCAAAGAAGAGAGACAGTTCATGATATTTTCTCGATTGATTTTTTGATCGAATATTTTCATTTCAAGACCGTACAAACGGTCATAACATGCGATGTGGAATCTAGCACACTGTTCAATGATGGATACAATAGATATATCGCATAACTGCTGCTGGGTGATATCTTTGCGGATGCCTCGAAGACGATCCCAACAAAAATCAAACCACTCGGACACTGATTCTTTCAGGTTGGAGTTGTCGATTTCAGGGATAATGTAGTTGATTAAATAAGACATTGTCATGGTCAACACAGGGGCAGGGCGTAATTCATGAGGCAGAGGTTCCTCTTGGTCGGCAGAGCTTCTGGAGTATTCTTTGATTGCTAGCTCATGGATCATTTCTTTACCTTCTGCTTCAAAGATGGAGAACAGGGTGCGGTAATCCCTCATTATTCTCTCTTTTTCAGGACACATGTCTGGACAAGTGCCTTTTAAAGTTGACTTGGATGTTGAGCTTTTGGCCAAGAGTTTTTTCAACCATTTATCCCTCTCATTTAAAATAGTGAATTTATCTTTCAAACTTTTGGCCACTAGATACTTGAAATCTTTGGGACTCATTTTGCTCTCTTTTTTCTTTGTGCCTGATTCACTTTTCGACACTTTAGCTTGCTTAGGTTTTGTTAACTTAGCAGAAGGCAAGGTTATCTTCATCCTCGTTTCCCCTGAAACCTGAATTCTATGCCCAGAAGAGAGATCCGGATGATCTACTGGCTTATTGTTGGTAAGATCTACAATGCTTGATGAAGGTCGTTTGATTTTAGGGGCACCTAGGTGTTCCATCATCAACTTACGCGAGCTTCTGATTCTCTTTAAGGATTTTTTCTCATCTGCCTTGTAGTTGTGCAAGGGCGGAGCAAAAACATCATTTTTGGCGCAGTCACCAAAAACTTTTTCATCATCATCCTCCAATAACTCTAGGTCTAAATCTTCGTAACTTCGACCATCTTCAAGGGAGAACATTCGAGGATCAAGAGAATGAGCTTCAGCTATGGTGAGTAATTCGTCACGCCAAACTTCACCCTTTTCAACTGCATTGCGGGCATCTTCTTCTGTTTTAAAGTAAACATTGGCTGAGGAATAGTCATCACTTACGGTGACACGTGTAACATGGCCAAACTGAGAGAAGTGTTGTCGAATCGTTTTCCGATCTTCAAATCCTTCAGGCAGGTCAACAATGGTGATTGTTCTGCGTCTGCTCCTTGATTTTGGCCGGCTGGGATCCATTTCGTAACAAACAATTTTAACTGCACAGAAAAAAACCAATCAAGCGTTTTAATATGAAGGAATAGGACAAATATAATTGATTTTTTTCTGTGGGTTCAATTTTGAGTTGACTCAACACTGAAGCAGAAACTATCAAAGAATCCAAAAATGAAGAATAACAAATAAAAATTGAATATAATAGATTACGTATCCAATGATTAAGTAAGAATGGGATTGAAATGAACAAGAGGGTGGTGATGACTTTCTTTAGAATAAAAAACAGAAAATGGATTCCAGCCGTTCATGGCCACATGACATGAGTTAAAACATTGGAAACACAAATACAAAGCTACTCATAAAAACACGAGAAACTCCAAAACTTCGAGGATATATGCCGTACAGAAGGCTGAGGCAAGACTTTTCACAGGAGAAAAATTACGACTAGTTGAATTTAAAACTCCTCCCAACTCATTTTTCCTCCTGAATTACACATTTGCGCCTTTCTGTCACACACCGCTGATTATTCGGCCACACTTAGGTCCCGCTTAACCTACCTTAATTGGCCGGTAAGTAGTGCAGTTTCGACTCATCGATGAATGTTGTGCCTCCGTGTGAAAGACCCGACAAAATTCGGCCCAAGTGCTCCCTTGGGCATTCTTCCATCTAAGTGTACTTATCCAATGCAAATTGGTTTGTCTGTTTACCAACCACAACTCAATGATTATATCAACCTTTCACAATCCTTGAATAATCAATAGAGCCATTCGGAATTCATGATCAAACACCTCAGTTGTTGGATAATTCAAACAAAGTTTAATGACGCCAACCATTGAGCATTGTGTAGTTCCGTTTCTAAACATTTTACTTGGACGACGCACCTTAAATAGTACGGCTGTTATGGAATCATGTAGCGGTTGTATCATAGAGGTGTTGCTAGCTAAGTTGGCTCTTGTTTACATTTTGTTTCAGTACAAGCGCCTGTAATGCAATCGTCCAATGGCGAATGAGGATTGACCAGAGACAGGAGACCCTCCACTGGCCTCTTGGTGACAGTTAGAAGCTTTTACTTTCGGGGACTCAACAATGCCTAATGGACAATTGTAAGGGAGCAACAGTCACCACTCATATTTCAGCTCTTGACCTGCCTCAGTATAGGTGACGTCATGAGCCAAACAAATTCCCCTTACTTTGGCTTGTTTGCAAAATCCAAACTGCCAACACATTCTTAACCATCAACCATGTAGGTAGGCCAACAATAGAATGATGAAGTCCCAAAATTAAAGGCTCCCACCATTGCCAAGATACTAGTGGAGGGTCTCTCGTCTCTGGGATTGACCCATGACTGCGGCCCAATTGTGAGTGTTATCATATTCAATCCTTATTATTGCTTCTTGTGGCGACTGCATCGTCACCACTTGCAAACTGAATGTACACGCATGGAAATTCTGTTGACAACACCTCTAATTTATCTCAGGAATCATGTGCTTGAGAAATGAATGAAAGCAGTGACTAATTCAGAAGCACATCAATTTTTCAGAACGCAAAATTAAATCCTTGCACCACTAGTAGATGGATTCCTTGTGAAAGGCAACCAAACTCTGAACTGCAGACAAAGACATAAAGACGGAGCACTAAAAGCAAAAAATGAAGCTTCTAGAGCTTCTTTTCAATCACCTCTACTATTGGCTAGAGGATTGGCGGCGAAATCGGGACAAGTTTGAATTCAAATGTAGGGCGGGAACTAATAAATAAAATTGCGGAAACAAAGTATTTTAGGTTGATTTTTGCCCAAATTCAGGTACACACTCATATTTTATTAACTTTAGGTTAGTTTCGGTCCGTCGTCGACCGACTGATTTCATTTGGGAGTAACGTAGATCTAGAACTGTGACGGCCTGTTTGAACCTGCAGAACCACCATAAGCAGAAGAAAAACTAACTTTATCTGAGATTACTGCCTGTTACCGAGCAAAAGTAGGTGTAATATATTAGGACGCAGACCGAACTTTCTTAATATAATCGTTTTAAGCATTTAAAACACGTTTCGAAGAAGAAATAAGGAAAAATCAAGAGGACAAGTTCAAATCAAATTTCCGTTTGCCGCCATGGATTCCCGCGCTCATTTACACACTCACACAAACGCGCATCGCCGAACCTAGCTTCACTTTTTCCCCGTGCTTTTAGATACGAGCACTCCGTCTTTATGTCTTTGACTGCAGATCAAGTAAGGCGCAGAACTTAACCTCCAAAGTCACAAGGCACTTTGTACCCCCAGCTGGACAGACGCAATTATTGACGCATCTACAAAATTGTGGGAAAAAAATTGTGATGGTAATACACGATTAAAACGATACATGATAAAGGGGCCGTGGATTCATGCTTCACCCTAAAACTACCGGTAAAAGGTTGAGATGAGAAACCGTCCGACAAACTCAACTTGCACAACAAAAGAAGTTGAAATGCGAACTTACCAGAACAAAATAGTTGAGACAAAAGTTTCTTCGACAGACGTTCGCATCGTTAGAGTCCTTTAATCACATTTTAAACAATTAGAATGCAACTTCTTAATTATATGGCGTAATAAACTATGTACAGAAATAAGTTCATGTGCGCAATGAAAAATGTAAACAAACATGTAAACGATAAAAAAAGAATTGAATTTTTACCAAACTTCCAATTATTCCTTTTTTCGAATAAAGGGAATTTTAATGGCAAATTCTGAACCAGACGCTCTGATTGGTCCAAAGCGGTTCATTCCATTTATTCCGAGTTGAACCAAATTAAGCGGGAATTTCAAATAATTCCGGATATCCTGTTTTACATATCGTTTCCGTTTCCGGTACAAAAGTGTTGTCAGTTTCACTAAAAAAAACAAAACTGACAACACTGTTTTACCGGAAACGGAAACGGTAAACAGGATATCCGGAATTATTCGAAATTCCCGCTCAATTTGGTTCAACTCGGAATAAATGGAATGAACCGCTCTGCACCAATCAAAGCGTCTGGTTCAGAATTTGCCGTTAAAATTCCTTTTGTTCGAAACGAGGAATAATTGGGAAAAAAGACAGCGCAACGCACTGACGTCATCATCGATTTGCGCATGCGCTCCCTCAAAGAGTGGCGCGCTTATTCAAAAGTGCGGACTTTTTTGGGCAGAATCTTACCATCCTGAGGATTTTGAGCTCTGTTCTGGAACATGAAGTGATTGATATCGTCTTGATCTCTCAAAATTCACATATTACGGTGAGGAGATTACAGAGCTGCATAATTGGACCGAGTTTAACAGAAAGGAACCAAGCCACATCAGCTATTGCCAAGTTTAACTGGGCAGTTGAATTTTTTATGAGAGAACGTTTGTTCGGATTTCTTTAAACATTTTAAGGAATTTGCTGCGTACCATGGAGAAATTTCACTGAAATTTGCACGAAAATCCGCACAACCGTTTTCATGTAAAAAATTAAATTGCCCAGTTAAATTTGGCAATAACTGATGTGGCTTGGTTCCTTTCTGTTTAACGCGGTCCAATTCTCGTAAAATAAGACGGTAATATTCGGACAAAAAACTGGACATCATGCTCATATCAAGCATGTGGCACCATCATGTTCGGCTCTAACTGCATGAATGGAAGATGCCTCACGGATAATAGAAATAAGGAGGTATTTTGGCTGGTTTTATGATAAAAAATGAAAAATAATCCGAGTTCTTCAGATGTTGGCAATGAAGATATACGCGTTTCTCAACTCAGCATGTATCTAGTCAGTTCGAACTGATAACGCACGACTGTATTTTAGTACCTACCGCATCGAGAGAGTGGAGGATTGCTGTTTATGTGGAGAGGACACTTTGCAAATAATACCGATTTGTCGCAGCGCAGTCTTGTCACATTTTTTACTGAAAAAGTCAAAAGAAAATATTTTTTCGCCAGAACAAACTCATCACCTCCCCTCCCCCTCCCAAATAGGTTTGGAAGTGCGGCGCTGCTTGCTGCAAGCTGCAACAACGATCTCCCCAAAATTTCGTCTAACACGCATGGTGTGCCTGACCTGCGACAAGAATAAAAACTCCATCAATTGCAGAGCCAATAAATTGAATCACATGTAAAATCGCTGATCATTTGAGTGAGCTCAAAGTCAAAAAAGTCATTCTCTTGAATTTTGTACCAATCACATGATATGGCGAGATTCAAGATTGCCGCGTCTTCGATATTTTTTATTCAAGATTTATCTCCGAGGTGCGGTTTCTAGAGTGGTTTCTATGAAATATTTGAAGAATGTTATGCGATCTGGCAATCTTTACTATGACGCAACCAGTGGTGTCTTCCTGCGAAATGAGCGTTGGA